TGACTACACGCATTGCTTCGGTTTCTATGGGGTCGATGTCGGTAAAGTCGCGTTGCATGGTGTTCCAGTCGACGTGGACGCGGACGACGCGTGCTAGGAAGGATTCGGTGTTTAGTTCTTTGACGAGGTAGGTTGTGCCTTGGTGGAGGAAGATGCCGCCTTCGTAGATTGTGAAGAAGGCGCGCGAGGCTTCGACTTCTTCTAGTACTATGTTGCGGTTGTTGGTTATGTCTATGACGGCGAAGTGTTGGTCTTCTGTGTCGCGGATTGAGACGCTGCGGGAGGGTTGTGGGCGGAAGCGTGGATGGCAGTGGTAGAAGCCGAGTTGATCTTTTATGAGACGAGTTGGGGCCAGGGCAAGGAGCTGTTGCCCGAAGTAGACGCTGTCTTCTTCGGGCCGGATAGGCATTTCAAATGCGGCGCATTGGACGTGACCTTCGAGGATGAGCTCGTTGGATAGATCGATCTGCAGCTCGCAATTAGGCCGTGTGAATATTTCATCTGGATTCTGCATGTAGTGTTGGTCGGTTGGGTATCTGTCCCCGACTAGGACGGAGAGGGAGTCTTTGTTACGTCGACCAGCGCGGCCGCTTTGTTGGCGTAGATTGGAGATCGAGTATGGGAAGCCCATGGTGATGACTGCATCTAGAGAGCCAATATCAACGCCCAGTTCCAGAGCGTTGGTAGCCACGATCCCCATCAATTTCCCCTCGAACATTTCCTTTTCGATTTGGCGTCGATCTTGAGGGCTATATCCGCCTCGGTAGCCCATTACTAGCTTGCCGATCTCTGTTCGTTCGAGTCTATCAAACTCGGCGCGCACGCCTTGTAAGAGAATCTCGCATAGCTTTCGGATTCGGCAGAAGGCTATGACTCTCACGCCCCTGAGGATCAGCTGGCAAAATAGCCTGGCAGTCTCAGTGACAGTGTCAGCACGCCCGGAGGTAGGATCTTTGGGGTCTTTGAATGGCGTATTCCAGCAAACAAACTCCTTGCGGCCAGAGGGAGATCCATCAAAATCGATGAGTTTCACATCCTGCACCCCAAAGACGGACTTCATGTGATCCTCCGGGTTTGCAACGGTAGCAGAGCAAGATATGAACTTGACATGTCGATTACCCACCGCGGCACAGATCCTGCGGAGGCGTCGCATGATAAAAGCGACATGAGACCCGAACAGGCCGTTGTAGACGTGCAGTTCGTCGACAACAACGAACTTCAGATTCTTCAAAAAGGTGCGCCAGGAACTCTCCTGTGGCAGAATTGTAATATGAAGCATGTCGGGATTGGTAAAAATGATCCGCGCCTCGTCACGAATCAAGTTCCGGCTCCCCATTGGCGTGTCCCCGTCAAAGGTTTCAACCATTGTGTGTTGCAGCCCGTTCATATACTGAAGTAGATCCATCATGCTGCGGCGCTGATCTTGTGCCAGAGCTTTCGTGGGGAAGATATACATTCCCCTGCTTTCAGGATCCTTTTCTAGCTCGTGCAGCATTGGGACTTGATAGATAAGGGATTTTCCTGAGCTCGTCGATGTCGAGACAATCACATTATGGCCCTCGTATAGGTGGTTGATTGCCTCTGTTTGATGAGCGTACATTTGGGTAATTCCTTTCGTGTTATACAGAGCATTGACAAGGTCCTGCGAGAGCTGGAATGTCAAGTCTCCGTAGACAGCAGACTGTGCGTCGAATACTCGGTGGCCTTCCGGCACAATTTGTGCATGGTACCAATCCATCTCTCGAATCTCTGCAATGATTTCCCCAATGGACTTTCGCTCCTTGGGAATTGTTGCTGGCGGTTTCGCCGTAAGAGGGGTGTCTGTCCCACTGTTTGGAGGGTTGGGCAGGAAAGCATTCTTCTCTTGTTCAAGAGAATCCACTGGATCAATATTTTTGTCCTCACATTGCACCAAAAACGCATTCATAGCGTCCGAGAACTTGGCATTTCGTTTCTCAATCAAACCCAGCATCTGCTTTTGGCTGTAGACGGGCATTTTCAGATCCTCTTCTTTCATCCGACGCATCGGTTTCATAGGCTCCCCAGTCTTCGGGTGTAGCACTTCCCGCTTCAGATCACCATCCACAAACTCAAATAGCAGAACTTGCTTTGTGTCGTCTGCAAAGTGAAGATCGCCACTTCTGGCGCTTTCAGCGTCCATGTCTGCCCCAAATGCCAGGCTAGATCGCTTGTGTAACCCATATTGAGATATCTCTTCATCTTCAGCAGTCATTACTTCCAGCTTGGCTTCGTCCACATATTCGAAGCGGACCGCTCCGGGAACCATGACTTTCACACGTGCGACATCCTCAACGGTGAGTTCTCGCCCTTGACCTAGTTGAGCTTGTACTGCTTTTTTTATGTTTTCAAATGTGGTGGCAAAGTGCTTTCGCGTGCAGCAAAATGTATAAACGAGATTCAAGGCGCGATGGGTTTGCGAGAGGCGCTTAAAGGCATCTGGCAACGGCGCAGATGGGGTTCGCTTCGAGGGCTTCGGCGGCTTTGAGGTAACTTTCTTTCCTTTGCCCGTTTTTTGGGCAGTTGTAATTTTGATAGATTCAGTTACATTCACATCAGATTCATTGAGAGGAGGATTGGTTGTAGTTGAGGGTGTTTGATCGGCAGGGTCTTGGGGCGACGCGTTCGGGGGTGGAGGCACATCCGACTCGAGGCCGCGATCGCCTTCATGACTTCTTTTCCGTTTTAATGACGAGGCTTGCAGTGGTATTGACAAGGAGCCGGTCATCTCGAAGCCCCATAGTGCTCTATGTTGGAGTTGAAGTTGATAAAAGTCCGAATTGACGGGAAACGCGAGGTCACGTGCACCATTATCGCCTAAAATGGCCATCCGTTCCAAGGTTCTACAGTTGGTCAATGCTCAGTCTTTCTATATAAGCTTAATTGGTTATGCTTAACTTATCCTTGACATTTCTTGATAAATATCAGTCTGTATTATGCGATAATCTCCACAAAGCTCACGCTAGCTCAGGCTAGTTCTGCCTCAATCAAACTCTCTGAAACGCCCGGATAGGTGTAGATGTTGACTACCTTCAATCCAGCTTGGGCCAGAATATCTCTCCAATCAGCCTCCGTTCTTTCTCCCACAGCAAAATGCGCTAACATCATCATATCCATATTGGTCGCTGCGAGTGTAGGTTTTTCTTCCTTAATCACAATCTCGTTGAACAAGACCCGTGAATAACCCTTCTTTAAAGCAGGCACAAGATTCTTCAGGATCTTGACACCATCTTCTTCACTCCAATCGTGGAGAATAGAATGAAGAGAGTATGCGCATGCGCCCTTGATAGGCTGCGGCGTAAAAAAGTCGTGAGCTTGCACTTCAAAAGCTCGCTCTGTACCACTAGCTACCACACCTGCAATGACAGGCTCTCGGTCCTGGAGCACAATCCTACCCGAGCAAGGGCTATACTGTGCGGCAAAGGTAGCCACATCGTGACCCTTTCCGCCACCAACGTCGACGAGGAGGACATCGCTAATAGAAGCATCGAAGCCTGTTCTTAATCGCTCAGCCACGGGGTAGAACTCATGCCAGTCTGGCTTACCCGCGCGGTACGCGCTCATGAAAGAGTCGAAATGCTGGAGGTGCGGTGGTGTCGCGACAAGCCATTCAAAGAATGGGAGGTTTGTTTTGTGCGCCTCTTGAAATGGGCCATCAGTTCCACCCAGAGTTGGGGAATTATATTCGGATTTCTTGAGATATTCTGGGAATCCATTAAATATAGGGCGCGTCACATCGTAGCAGAAACTGATGCTGTGTTGATAGTTCTCCTCCGCGAGACCGTTGCTCATTTGCGTGGCATGGAACGTCCCATTGTAGAATGACACGAGGTTCATCGCTACTAGATGTCTCGTTAGGCGTTGCAGGAGAGCACCATCGATCTGAGTCTTCTGGGAAAAGGCTTTCGGGGTGATTCCCCCATCTCCTGCATCTTTGAGGTGTTGGAAAAGCTTGACATCGACGGCCATACGGATAATGGCGCTTTGAGCTGGCTATCATAACCTCCAATTAGCATTTTGAGCAAGATAGGCTTTCAAAGAGGTTACAGTTGCTCACTTCTGCCCAGAAGGTTCGCTGGACGAACTCGCTTGGGATCTCCAATGCTGCAATCAGCGCGCGGCTTTGGTCAATCAGATCTTCTCTTGAGCCGGTTTCGTTCTTGTCGAATGCCGCGCGTGAAGTGGCAATTTCATCTAGAATGGCAGAGACAGATGGAGAGGCCATGATGATATTTGGCGTTGAGAGTGTGATAATTGATTCCCAAGCTACAAAGAGGTGTCAAGTCTCTTCAAGAGAAAATGATGCGGATCTATTTGCCCCTCCCCCTCCCTATTCCGATCCCGTTTTCCCAGATTTAGTCTGGGGCTAGTACGAGGTTAAGGGCACGGGTGAGGTTCTGAGCCATTCATCCGTGGACCCTCTGTACATCAAGTCGTGACTGCGTTTGGCCCTATTTAATTGGTCATCGTCGCTCATGGGTCCATATATTGTACATGGATGTTAGCTACATGAACAAGCTACGGTCGAATCATCCAAGATCTGCAATACTAGTATACTAGTCGATACACACACATCGGCTAGTACTACAATATACTAGGCTAGATCAATTTATCCATGGATTCTTTCGAGTTTTAGCTCAGTTACTCGACTAATTTGCCGCACATAAATGTTTCAACTCCACTTGGAGGTAAACAAAAATTAGATATATCGAATCGATGTTCACAAATCAATGGCACAAGCTCTTCAATCGATAGACTGGCTTCTGCCAATCGAGCCTTCATCCAGATTTTTACATCGAAATTTGTTAAGTATTCATTGCAATGACCTGGAAATGGCAGAAACAAAACGTTATCTGAATTTCTGCTAACCTGATGTCAAATATCATACGACGAAGTCATAGCCCTTCTCTGGGATTTTGGATTCTTAATACAAGCCCTCTGCTCCCGCTCTTATATGATCGTGAATATTTCGAATTTCCAACTCAAGCTCCAGGGTCATTCAATGATGAGCTCAAAAGCCGCAAATAACACTGTCTGGGTTGATGAGTTAATTTGTCCACCGCTTGGTACGAACTGAGAGTGCCCGGTACACTTTGCAACTCAAAGTTCCACAAAAGAAGCACAAGAACAATCTTCAGTTCGAGGTACGCCATACGTCTCCCAAAGCACCCTCTTGGCCCCAGACCAAACGTAAGAAGTGGACCTGACGTAGAGTCGAAAGACTCTTTGCCGTCTTCCTTGGTAATCCACCGTTCGGGCTTAAATATATTTGAATCTGCTGGATCCCACGAGCCAATCCGCCCATTCGCCTCCTGGCAGCTCTTGCTGCGACGATCTTCGGGGATTTTGCCAATCGGAGGCTCGATGAAGTCAGGACCATTTCCCATGAGGAACACATTTGTGCCTTTAGGGATATGATGTCCAAGAACGACAGTATCAACCATCGCTGTGCGCGTTACCCCCGATGCTGTCATGGATTTCCGGATAATCTCCTCTTGTGTAGCGTCAAGGTATGTGATACGAGCTTTGGAGATCTCCTCGGCGGTTGGTTGACGGCGTTCTGCAATAGCTGCGGGGAACCCGCTACGAAGTGCTTCGCGAAGTTTCTTTTGTATCTCCTGGTGATCGGAAAGTAACTTGAGACCCCATGTTGCCGTCGTGGAGGTCGTATCGTGACCGGCAATTAGCAGACCAAAAAGCTTCATCTTTATTTAGCGATGCATTCCAAAGTCAAAGAATAAGAGTGGTGATCACCTCGTCAAATATTGTTCTCGTGTTGTAGGAGGGTTCTCGATTCTCTTTCTTCGCGGCAGCGAGTTCACGGCGCAGGATATCATCCATGGCGCATCTGGCAACATGCTCCTCTTTTGTACCCGAAGAGAATCTCGCCTTCGCCTTCTCAAGCTCAGTAGCAATCATGGTCTCCTTGGCTGCTCTTGCCCTGCGCATGTAGGGCAGCTGACTCATGAACCAAAATGTCAATTTTGGTATTGGTGATAACACCACAGGCTCCAGGCTTTCCGTGAGTGTGAGAATCGAGTTTGGGGCGTCTGGTATCGGGGCCTCCGGAAAGACTGCAGGCTCGTCGATGTTAGTGGAGGATGTGGTGTTGATGCTTGCGGTTTCGGTAAGGAGCTGTCGTTGCGCGTTGATGACGCTGTCCTTTGGATCGAGAGGAAATGTAACAGCCCAGATAGCATCTAGCGCTGCTTTGTAGAAATCTTCCGATGCGGAAAAGGGGTGGCCATTTGCCAATCGAGCTTTTTCTGTCCAAACATTGACGAGTGAGGTGAAAGCCTCATAGATTCGGGGCGCCGAAACCTGCTCCAATCAGTATGCAATCATTCCAATTTGAACAGGAGAAACACAAACCTCGTTTAAAAAGGCCGGGGTCATCAAATCTTGGATCAATCTCCGATGCGCCTTAAATTGAGGGTTTGTCGTTTTCATAGAGATATGGTGATCCGGTGTCAAGCCTCTGAAAATGTTTCCGAAATGGTCACTCCGATCAAACTCCTTGGTCCTGCGTAGCAGAATATCCTGGCTCTCTCTGAATTCGGTGAGAATGACCCATGGCTTCGTGAGAGGGTTCGCAAAGATTTGAATGATAGGCGAGTTCAACTTCTTAGCTTGTAAAGGCAGCCAACTCAATTTCTCTCCAGTCTTTTTTCCATGTTCGATCAAGGCAGGTAGATCCCCTAACACATTATTCGTGGCTTCTCGGTTGTAGGGAATGCCTGGTATTGGACGAGGCAAAATCCACCTGTACCCCAGGTAGAGGACAGACAAGAAAGCCCCTAAAGCGAGACTGGCGAGCAAAGGAGTCATTTTAATAGATGAGAATAAAATTGAAGATCTATAAGGGGGAAAAGAGAAATGCTGAAGAGTGGCACAAAGGGCCATTTAAGATAATACCTAACTCATGAAATATCTAATAATGGACATAAACACGCCTTCTTGTACATTGAAATTGCATAAACGTAACTTCCAGTGAGTGATAATGTGGGTTATGGGTAGGTCAAGCACTATACTTTCCTTAAAAACAGTGAGGTCGATATCATCCGACGGTGCAACAATTCCTCCGCCACAAAAGTTAGAAGTCAAGCTAACATTAGTTTGATAATTAATAATTACTCCGGGTTTCTTCAGTTCAAGATGCAAGTAACGTCGTTTAGAAACACTGGGAAAACACATCAGCTGGGCGCCGACTGCCGACTACCGAGCACCGACCCGTCTTGTCAAGATAGTTATACTAGTTATTTATTACGGAGTACGGCGTGCCCTTCGTCTGATAAGATGGAATAGTATTAAAACAAATTATCTTTGAGCCGGCGGGTGAATTTCACTCCGACACATGTGGATTGGCTCGGTTTGTCCTTATATAGTTTTGTTTTGCGGCTACCTGACTATGCACTGAACGGCGAACTAGATGTAATTCGTGGGTTTTTTATCTTGTGTCCTAAGGAACATTAGTCTTGTTCCTAGGCGTTCATTCTCAAATACTAATACAAGGTCGTGAAGGCTGGATGTCTCATATCCAGAAATAACAGGTAAAGAGACCGAAGAGACATATCTTTTCCTTTTTGTAGAAGACGACAATTATTTCACTGTTCTCCACATGCCTTGAAAATAATCGAACATTTGCTTCAGCTCGTTCTGTTGAGGATTTGGATTATTCATCAAAGTAATCCTCTGTGTCCAATACGGATCATTGGCTGGCAAGGATGCCATGTAAAGGTATAACGCACTGCCTAATTGCTTTGCGGCGTCGTCGTCAAGCTCGATAAGGTTTCTATCACTGCCCTTGATGTTGATGCGGATGAACGTATTTGTCGTTCGTGTCATAAACATCATACGCTCGGGCTTTTGCAACGTCCCGTCAGTGCCGTCCCAGAGATAATTACCACTGGCAAAATCGTTCCATGCACCCTTCGTGAGCGTATCATCAAGGTAGAAGATCGGGCTTCCGATAAACCCAGGTCCATCGAGTGTGCCGGATCGGAAGCCAATATAACATAGCTTTGAACCGTATCGAGCTTGGAGCGCAAGGAAGAATCCGAACAATTTAACTTCGAGCGGCACACCCTCGGGAATATATTCAAATGAAGAATTTCGAGACCCCTTGAAATTGGCCCAAAAGGCATCAATTTGCTGATCCATATCGTTTGTCGAATTGAGCTGCTTGAAGGGTGAGGTGATATACAGAGCTCTGAGCCCAGACTCTTTTGCCAACCCAACGAGAGTTAAAGCTTGCTTTCGATCAAAATCACCGTAAAATATGATATAATTGAAAACTTCATAGCCATTGGCAGCCATGGCCTGGTTCGCTGCGCGTATTGATTTCAGGCAACTTTTGATATTTCCGTCTGTCATTGAACGGCCATCTCCGGCCTTCTGGGCCCGCCGGACCAACAAGAGAGCTATCTTTCCCACGTCTGCTAGCTTGGGTAGCTTCGACTTCCCTTGTTCTGTGGGTAACTTCGGCTTCCCTTGTCCTGGAGGTAGCTTCGGCTTCCCTTGCTCCGTCAGAGAAAGATATCGATTTATCCAATATTTTGCTGCGTATGCCTGAGAAGCGTAGGGATATCCCCCTGTTGGAGTGTCACCGGCTGGTGCAGTTTGAAGCTGCGAATCATTGAGGTAATCTCTTAGAGATTGAAAGATTTGGTCCTGCGCTTCGGGGTTTTGCTCAAAAACACGGGCTATACACTTGGTCGCATTGTCCTTTGAATCGCCGCCTCTTGGAATATCGACAATAGCCTTTTGCGAACAATAAAAGTAAAGAAGGTCCTGCTGTTCCACAGTAGCCGGCTGCGAGGCCTTGCCAATATTGATACGTATAATCTGACCAGCGTTGCCGGTTAAAAGGGAGCAGATGAGCGCATGGTACGCTTCTCCGTTTTGACCTTTTTCCACATCAAACGTAAACGACGTTCCTGTATAGGGGGTCTGAACGTTCACGTATTCGGCTGGTAAATGATATGAGGCAAAGCCAGATTGATACAACGGTTCATTTACGGCATCTCGGTAGGTCTTTTTTGGGTGTTGGGGATTAGGACGAAAATCGAGCATCATAGTCCGTACTCCATAGCAAACGCATATTGGACAATCCTCGGCACTAGTTTTCTTGCGGACAATGTTGACGGGAGTCTGACTATAATCATAGAATTTGTATGTTGGTTTCAAAAACTTTGCTGCTGGAAGTTTGCAATTGGGAGAAACTGGACCCAGGCGCTTTGGGTCGGTGTGAAAGCATCCAATTGGTGAAGACATAGTGGCTCTTTGGTTTGATGGTAAGAGATTAACAAAGCTAAGGGGCGAGCAGAGCGCCGTATTTTGGGTATAAATAGGCAAAATCTCTATGTCTATATGGTCTAGATGTATTAACGTGATTTATGCCCAATCGTAAATAGAGGTAGGAATAGTATGATGCAATGTTCTTCCTGTCCAAGAGTCCATCACCCTTGCACAGCAACAAAAGCTCCTTGGAGAACCAGCTATGTTAGTATCCACAGTGGCGGTGGCTGCAAACCTTTGCACGTTTGCATCGCTCTCCCTCTTGACTTGGATTGATCCATTCAATATCCCGCAGCTCATGTATTATAGATGACATAAAAGTGATGAGTCTAAATATAAGCCCATGGTCTAGTCGGTGGAAGGTGGAGCTGGCCTATCGCTGTTGTGGCAAAGGGGGAAACCCTCCGGGAAGAACCCCAAAGTGTATAGTGCTTAATTGTGAATTCTATATATAAATAGCGGTCTTGCGCGTTCTACTAAAGATTGGTCTCTTCCCTAGGTCTTCATTCTCAATGAAGAATATAAGGTCATAAAAGCTGAATATCTCATATTCAGGAACAACGGGATCAAATACGGTTTCCCCCATGAGATCAGTTCTTATGTTTAACAGTTTGACCCGGGGGTGCTATGGACATCAAAACTTACCATGTGGAATATACCAAATTACCTTACAGAGTAGTTAGTATAGGTTATAGGCAGGAATTATATTCGCTGCGGATGCTATGGCCCCTGTCATTGTCACCTGACCAAACAAAGAGCCCCTCACATATATAGTTGCGAGTCGCGACCCTCGGAGATATTTCTCGCATATTTTTCTCCTGTCCCTCTTTCCCATCTTGATCAACGGCAGCATGGACTTATTCTTCTCCGAACGTCTTGAATACCAAAGTTTTAACTCTCCTGAGGATGACGACTTCTTCCATTCTATCCAGAGTGATCCGGTGGCCTTCACGAACTCATGTGCATCACTTATACGACCTGTTAACCGCCAATTCACTGAAAACATCAGAAAACAACTCATTGAGAACTCACTGTTGTTTGTGGTTATCTACAGAACTGGTTATGAGCGCATCGGCACACTTTTCTTAAAGTCTGCAAGTCCAGATATGGCTCATCACCGTTGCTCAGAATTCGGTATCGATATAAAGAAGGAATATCAAAACCAGGGATATGGCACCGAGGCAATCAACTGGATGCTTGACTGGGCATTCAAGAATGCTGGTCTACACCGGGTGGAGTGCAACGTTTTTGGTTGGAACCCTCGCGCACAGAAGACTTATCATAAACTTGGCTTCCGGGAGGAGGGACGGAGAAGGGAGTGCTTGTTTAAGGACGATAAATGGTGGGATGAAGTGCATTTGGGTATTCTTAAGAAGGAATGGCAGCAAATCAGACAGTGAGAGGTCGCCTTGTTGTGATGCAGAGAAGTTATGCAGTAGTTGATACCTTGAAGTCAGACGGACCTAGTGCCGTTCTATTTATCAGCTAAAAGTCATACTATGTCCTTCATTATAGGCCCCGAACCAGAGCCTTCAAACTCCACGCGGACCAAAAGGCTACTATGATGGTTGTTCATTATTAGTGGAACTAATCGTGAACAACCATCATCTCCGGTGCCGATTAAGTTGGGGCATATTCTAACTTGGAAGGCAGTCGTGATGAAGCCCTTACTATCCTTCGCCAGAGGCATTCATCCCAATGTGGACGGTGAGTATTTCTGTCATTGCCTATCATTGATCATCAATCATCAATTTCTGCCTGAATATGATTGCACTCGCCCGTATGGAATTAATATGCTAATTTCTCAAGACCAGATTACTCGGCTTCTCGCCGCAACAGGATCTATCAAGCAGGATGGAGTACAACACTTCAAGCCCTCACCTCTTACCATGATGATGGCAGACCCGATCATGGAAGCAACCACTCGAGCCTGGTCAGTGCAATGTTTTCATCTACACTTCTAATCTCCTAGAAAGTTTTATTGACCATACTTAGCTTTGAGATTGAGCATCATGATGATGGTCCAAGTTGCTGTGTTTGGACGGTCTGAAAAGCAGTGGCGGGATCTTATTGCATCTGTGGGGCTGACAAATGTCAACTTCTATCAGCCTCCTGGAAGCGGCGAGGGTATTGTTGAAGCTATAAAATGATTCGACGGCATGAGCTCTAGCACCGGCTTGAATTGGAGTGGCAGGAGGGTCAGTCAGCAGCTGGATAGCCACGAGTGGCTACCTAAGATATACAATTATGGCAGATACAAGAATTGTATAGTCATAATACTTTTTTTTTTTGGCTCTGTAGTGCTACCCAGGCAAGCATCGGTCCTACAGTGCGAAATTAATCCTTCTCGACGTTCATAACCTTAGGGCTTAGGGCCTAAGATATATCTATCTCTGATTGGGGATGAAAAATTCGTAGAAATGATTTAAGTCTTTGGGTAAGCATGTAAAGACTATGAATTGTCAAAAAAAAAAAAACAACCTGTGAGATGAGAACTGAACAAGGTTGAAATTCTGCGCCACCTGCCATGTGCCCAAAGTCCCTATTAATTAATTTAGGGATCCAGTACTCCGTACCGGCCTCATATCGCCATAATTATCCTCTGTGCGGGCGACTAAGTCAGCTGAATACGCGCCTATAGATAGGATTGGTACTCAGTTAATCCGAATTAAAAATTAAAAAGGCAATCGGAACCTGGGTGATTAGACTGTATACATCTACTCTCACCTGCATCCAAAGCTATATTAGAACCCCCACGAATGCCTAATCAAATTATCTTGATCCCCTGACTGGGTGCAAGATGTGCATTTTCATATCAAATCCGTTGGCTCTTCAGATATTGAATCCTCTACATCCCCTGTGGAAAAGTAATCCTTATCCCCAACATTCACTCTATCAATATTTGCTCTAAGCAACTCCGCAGACTTAAACATTTCTATTCAACTTCCAAACATCAGATATGAATTGGCCTCTAGCTGTATCAGACAATCCATCCCTCTTCAATGAGCGATACCAGGAAACTGAGTATCTCGACGAGCCCAGTGGGAGCCCTTTTTCGTACTCGCAATACTCCTTTCTCGCTGCGAACCCGAACATACTTCATCCAACACAAGGCCAAGCAGGAGTGAGCAATGCCAAGTACACCTCGCAATACTCTATCGCAGAGGGTACTGTAGGGACTAGCCAGCCCATGGCCTACACTGCCCCTATGCTTGGTCAGCCGCCGCCTCTTTCGCCGCAGCCTGCTCATTCTATGCAAAGTACACCACAATGCATGCCTAATCATGACACCCAGGCCAGGAGCCAGAGATCTCGAGCTTATCCTATACCTCACAAGGCCGAGTAAGTCACGATGATGAACCATATTTGGACACTTCCTTCATTTACTAACAGTCGTTTTCTTTCAGAGCGTCGGTAGAGCCGTTTCAATGTGAATGGAAGGGCTGTCGATCCACTAAATCGTTTGGTCGGTTACATGTCCTTTGGCGACACATTGAGACACAGCATCTCTTTCCCGGTGCTTACAACTGCCACAGAGAAGGGTGCGGTAGATCCTTTAATCGAAAGGATAATTTGGGAGAGCATGCTCTTCGAGTTCATGGGGAAAGGAAATTTTGAGTGCAGGTTGTGGTACTTGGACGTGGCTGAGGTAGGGCTAGGTGAGATGAGAAGAAAAAGAATACTCTATATTAGTGAAGCAATGCCATTAAACATTAACGAGATAAAGGTTACAATGAAAGCACCTTAGACCAGGGCATAGGTGCTTTATGGAATAGGAGATAACATGCTAGGCAAAGAAATGTTGAAAAAGATTCGATATTCACACAAGTGTATTAAAGATCGCTAATAATCTGCAATAACAACTCTGAGCCACGAGAGTGGCTCTTTTTTTTCTTTTTTGTGTTTTCTGTTTTCTTTATTTACATGTATCAACATGACCACATGTAGCTTAAATCTTCTCCAAGGTGTCCTTTAGCACATCATAGAGTTCCTGAGCGGACTTTTCGCCGCCAAGCTGTGTTGATTCGTTAGCATTATCATCAAACATTGTTGAGAATATGGAGACTTACCCGGAGAAGCAGGCTAACAACTTTCTCATCTTCCTTGCTGGCGAGATAAATATCCCGAGTGGCTGGGCGAGCACTCTTGGTATCGCCAAAGGGCATACTATGCCAAATCGCACTGTTCAACATAACACGCAAAGCACCATCGGCGCGCATAATCATGCGGCCAGATTTCTTTCCATTGGACTCCGTCTTGAGGTTAACCTTGAAGGTGCCAATACCACGTTCCTTCCATTTCTTGTCGTCAAAGTAGTACAGCTTTCCCTTGGCTGAGAACTTGGTGGTCTCATTTTCTTCGCCGGTTTCAACTGGATTTTCACGCTGGAATGAGTGACTGACCATATTTGGGATCCTGAGGGTGGGCTTCAAAAAGGGGTCCATACCAGTTTGTTCGTGGAAACGCTCGTCGGTCTTCTCGGCAACAAAGGTGCCATCGGGTTCACCCGCTGCTTCATTGTCACTCTCTTCGTTGTCGGATTGCTTTGCGCCGAGGGTCTTGTCATTGGATTCGCCAAAGGAAACGGGGGCATTAGGAGACGCGAAACTGGTCAGTTTACCAGCTGTTCCAGAGAAACTGGCAGGGGCGTTGGCAGATGCGAAACTGGTCAGTTTACCAGTTGTTCCAGAGAAAGCAGCGGGTGCATTGGGAGACGCGAAACTAGTCAGTTTACCAGATGGGGCAGAGAAAGGGCTGCCAAAGGCAGAGAAGCCAGATCCGAGGGCACCGAAACCAGTAGTGGAGGCACCGGTGGTTGCAAAAGGCGAAGCATCAGATGTCGATTTAGTTGCAGGAATTGCGAAAGGTGAGGGCGCGTTGGCAGACTGTCCGAACGCACTCGCAGTGAAAGTCTGTCAGAAGTAAGCGTTAGTGAAAGGTGGAAGGAAAAAGTTGGGGGAGTCGAGGCAGCAAACTCACCTGATCCACCTTAGCCTTGCGCTCCTCCGAATTGTCGCGAGGTCTCTTCTTCTCGGGTTGTCCTTCGGTAGTACGTTTTTCGTCCGATGAAGTTGCCTCATCCAAACCGAGAGCGGAGTCAGTCGCAGCGTGAGAATTTTGCGAGACATCATCTTCAAGCTGTTCTCGGCTCCGTTTCTTCTTGAGGATTTGTGAAGAATCATCTTCGTTTCCGCCGGCGGTCGTTTCAAGATTCTGTGGGTATTGAGAGTGGTTAGAACCAGTAATTTCAACCGTGGGTATGGGATAATCGGGGTGCGTTGAACTGAGGGGAGGAGGCGGAGAGGACAGGAATCCAGGTGAACAGTAGTCAGGCAGAGAGTCTTCAGATGAATGGTCTCCAATTGACTCAGGATCTTCATATATGTAGAATGAAGGGTCCTCATGTGCGTAATATTCAGATACAGCTTGTCCAGATGAAGGGTGTACGGGGGAATTGTGTGGAGGGGAAGGGTGTCCAGGGGAAGGGCTTCCAGATGGAAGAATGGGGTTTGCAGAAGGGCCGGTGACATGGGTTTTGGAGGATTCGCCTTCAGCGGATCTCGCAGTCGAGGAAGTCAAGGAGAACAGTCTACCGGGCAGCTTGATATCGATCTCAACAGGAATCGTCATATGGGTAATTTGCTCGGATCCACCAATTGAGACCTTGAGCTCAAGGACAAGGGGAAACTGGACCTTGGTCTCGGGAATAGTGTTCGCAGGTGTTGTGGCCGGTACATTGTTACTCACATTTTGAGTAGTGGCATCTTTGGGGATTCCGGCGTGGTTGGATTTGTCTTCCGTGGAAGCCTTTAGGTTATCCGGGGTACACTCCCGAGATCGCTTGGTTGGGGGGTTGTCGGTTGCTCCATCTGTGTTGTCGAGGGAGCGCTTTCGGTTTGGACGAGCAGGACCGTTGTTTTCGCCCACAGAGTCGAGATTGGTCTCCTTGAGCTGTTGTCGCACGGGGCGTTCGCCGCTGTCATTGTCGGATGGGGGCGACTGCGCGGTTACTGTAAGACGATATCGTCAGATCACATATACGTCGGAGAAAGCCGCGGCAAAGGGTATTGAAGATAAAAAGGAAAGCTGCAGGGCGGAACAAAGACGGATCGCTGGATTAACACGTACCTCTGTGTTCCATTTTCAGTTGCTCTGTTTCCGGAGCTTTGAAGTTGTTAGCGAAACTGCCCAACTATGTGGGGGATTTGAGGCTATGCGCCCAAGCAATGATGACATACCACCTGCCGAGGAGTTCTGCTCACGAGAGGCAGAAGTCATGGTGTCGCGTCCTGAGGACAAATTCAAAGATATTGGGTATTCCAGATATGTCGAAATTGAGTTAATCGGAGCTTCACAGGTCACGATAACCGCAGATGAACAGATCGGATCGATTGGGACCAGCCGAATCGACGAAGAACGGAAGACTTGAAGTTTGCGAACTTTGACAGAATAACAAGAGGATGGAAGGGTGAAAAGGTGAGAGAAGAAGGAAAAGCTAGCTTGCCGGTTCTTATAAGTTGACCGCCGGGTGCGGGGCCCAACAAACGGGTTCTGAATAGAGCATCAATGTAAATAGAAACAAAGCATATTGATCTAAAACAATCATCTATTGTTGCCTCGGTAGAACAATACACATAAATTCAATTCAAGTTTGGGATATACCGGTATCCGCGCTATTCTAATATCCAATGTTATTGAGGTTGCGCCGATGCCTATCAGAGGCATGTGACGGCGCATTTTCTCAACTTTCGAGCACAATATCATAGAGAGCTCTAACTGATGAAACAGAGACATCCAATCGCAATGTAGAACACAAACAGTGGGTACACTGCGATGCCGACTCGGTTCCGCACCACTCCCGAGCCTCCTAAGATGCTTACTCCAGCTGCTAAAGACCATGCGACTAACACAAGATATACCGGTATCCGTGCGATAGTAGGAAGACCCAGTGCACTCAGCATTGCGGCGATGACCAGGGGGAATAACGTATAGCCGATAATGCAAATCGACTGGAAGAAAGAACTAACAGACCACAATGTCAGTAAACAACGATTTTTGAGGGACGCTCCATATAACACTTACATCTTGCCACCAAGGAGCTTGATCTGGAGAGTCACGGCGGCTTCTCCGATCCAGACAAGACAGAAAACACCCGAGAAAACCACGGACGATTGGTCACCCTTTGCGACAGACAAGAACAAACTCAGGACCAGACAAAAGACAAGCGGTCCCCTAGAGTAAGCCATTCGTTAGTTTCTATGCTAAGTTTTCGTGTGTGGGATAGCTTACCAGAGATCCCAGTCCCGCAACCCATCGCTCATGCCGCCCTGCAGGACCACGTCGGCATCCGGCCAGCGTCCAACGAGTCCCCGGATGTTACCACCAAATCCAGACATTCCACCTTGCTCAGAATCAGCGGTGCCACTGCCTCCGCGCTGCATCATCCCTCCAAGCAAGTACTTCGGCCAAAGCACCTGGCGCATCTTCTCCCACACGGCAATCAAGTCGCGTGACAATGTGTCCCAAACACTCTCATCGATGGTATTCTGTGTCGCACGGCGATCTTCACCACCGATAGAGGATGTGAGGTAGTTTCCATAACCGGAGGCATTGCCTCGGTTGCTCGAGCTGGATTCGATGTTGCCTCGCAGAGGGGCCGTATCGGAGGTATCGCGCAGGGGGTCGTCAGCGTCGATAGCTAGAACCACACTGAATTAGGATCGTGCTGATACGCTAGTAGCCAAGAGGGGCGAACAAAATTACTCACCATCGTCGGCTTCGATCAAATCATCACCAAGGAGAGAATCATCATCATGGGGGTCACCATGGTGGTGGCTTTGGTGTACGGTAGCCATGGTTCGCGTAGTATGGTCGTGACGGTCGAAAGTCTAGCGCAAGAATGGCACTCCTTTAGTCCTCTCAGAGGCGAAGTAGACAGGAAAGGTCAAGGTAATCGAGGAGTATGAAAGCGAGTTGGTCGAGCTGTCCCGGAAAGGCTAGAGTGGCATTACGTACCAGGTCACGGGTAATGTTACCAGGCACGTTTTGTTTCACCTTTCACTTCTACAATGCACGTCTTATTATGAGCTTTCTGATTTATCCAAAAGTTTTCTTTATCTTCATATGTAAATTGAATGATCATCCAATGTCATTAATTTGACAATCACTTTTCCTCGGTACTGTCAACATACGGCTCTTCTTCCTGATACACATCGTACTTGTACTTGCTTCCGATATGATCAGCCCTGAGCTCTTTCTGTCCCTTGCCAAATACCTTCTCACGGGCTGTGAGAGGTGGTTCTGAAGGTTCTGGAAGCTCAGGATAAAGACCGCGCCGCCTCAGCTCGGGGATGAGCAGGTCAACCACCTCCTCAAAAGTGCCAGGCGTGGTAACATAGGCAAGATTGAACCCATCGAGGCCAGCCTCTCGGACCCAACGCTCCATCTCATCGGCAACAGTAGCAGGGCTTCCAATACCCACCGGACCAAGACCACCGATTGCAGCCCTCTCAGCAACCACACGAGGCGTCCAGCGCGGGATCTCCTTGCTGGTCGTGAGTAATGAGTCAAGTAAACTAGTGATTTTGTTTGCCTCCAACGAGTCTGCAGCCGTGATGTCTTGGTCCAATGGGATTTTGGAAATGTCAATGCCCGTCCATCCGCTGAAAAGAACCAGTCCTCCAATCACCGAGGCGTACTTCTTCAGCTCCTCGTACTTCGCCCACGCCTCTTCATCAGTCTCGCCTATAATGGGCGTGAAGGTACCAAAGAACTTAATGGACTGTGGGTCACGGCCTCGTTCTGCAGCCAGCTTGCGGATATTTGCAATCTTCGGCCGCAACACCTCTGGTGAATGGGCAGAGACAAAGATTGCCTCCGCGTGAGTTGAGGCAAATTCTGATCCTGCAGGTGAGGTCCCTGCCTGGAAAAGGAACGGTGTCCGCTGCGGAGAGGGGTCGACGATGTGCCGCGTACTCAATGAGAAGTACTTGCCCTTGTGGTTGATCTGGCGCACTTTATCCGGGTCTACGTACGTGTCTGCTTCGGGGTTGGGCGACAACGCATCCGGAGCCCAGGAACCCTCCCACAGTCTATACGTAACAATGGCCGAGTCAGTCTTCAACAGCATCACCCTAGCTGATCTATAGACATGTAACTCACTTATAGAGCACCCTCAAATACTCATCTGCTTGGCGGTACCGTTCGTCATGCTCAATGGGAGTATCCAAGCCAATGGCTTTGAAAGCCGCTTTCTTATATGAGGTCACAATGTTCCAACCCAGCCGGCCATTGGTCAAATGGTCCAGGGTTGAGAAGCGCTTAGCCAACAAAAAGGGCTGCTCGAATGAAGTCGAGGCCGTGATGCCAAACGCCAGATTCTTTGTCACTGCAGCCATTGCTGAAATGGGCTAACCAGAAAGTCAGACCCAGATCGGAAATCCTGTTTTTTGACACTCACGATAGTCGGGTCTGTCACTGGCCATTGCGCCGCGCGCCGAATACACTCGTCCAGTTTGCCCTCATAGGTATCATAACCTCCAGTTGTATCTGCCAGGAACAATGCGTTGATTCCACCGCGCTCCAACAGCTTCGCCAAGTCTATCCAGTACCCAAGTGTTCGCTTGGTCGCAGACTTGTCTTTGGGATTCTGTACAGCTGTCAGCGTTTTGGCCCTTCAACTTCGATTCCCATACCAACCCTCCATTGTCCAGGGGACAAGTGTCCCACGGTCGACATGTCAAAAGCATTAAGCAAGATTTGTTTCTTGCCATTGCCGGCCGAGCCATCCTTAGCTGCACTGTCTCCCATGATTCGCAGTTTTCGGGATAAAAGATGCTTCCTTTCTTGCGTTCAAGACTTCCGCAAGTTCAAAAAATATCTAGCGATGGTCTATAAGTGACCTCTCATGTCGCAAACCACTCCCAGGTACTATCCCCGCACCATCTTAGAATTTGCCCATCGCACACGCATCTTGCGCCATCGACAATCCGAAATAGGGGAATGGCAGACATCCGAGCCCTGGTGAATTCTTACTTTGTAGAATGAACTGTGTAGATCAAACATTCGCCATTATCCCCACAGTATTTACAATATTGTAGGATTCATCATCGACGGACAGATTGCGTGACGCTTTGTTCAACCCGACTCGGCAGATCATTACATACTATACTCCTTTCAATTGATTTTCGTCAATATTTTAAAATAGAGGGTAGAAATATCAGGATAATAATGATATGACTTGAATCTATCAAAGTTGATATAGGGGAGCATATACAAAAGCTCGGAGGATCATACATCTTACAATTTGACAGCAACATCAAATCCCTTTAGGATCATGATTATTGTTCAATGTTAGAAGTAGAGAATGTACCAAATGGTATTATGTACATAATGCAAATATGCAACGCCATCTATAGCCCCCAATGTGTGATATACAAACATAATACAATCGAGACCTCACTCGGTCTCGTCGTGTGCAAAACCACGAATTTGATCAAGCCTCAATCTGAGCTTCTCACGAGGAAAATTCCTCTTGCTGATCCGAACTTTCTTCACTCCGAGAGTTGCGAGCCTCCCACTGGAACTTTTTGATGCGTTCCCGGGCTTCCTCCTTCTGCTGAATCGTCGGGTATACCTTCTTTCTCTTCCAAGTCGCAATAACATCCTTGTCAGAATACTTCTTCAGCATCTTCGAGTCAGCCTCAAGGGCCTTGCGCTCAGTCTTGGAAACATAAGTCTTATAGTCAAGCTTGAGGGTGTCGTCAACCACCAGACGAACCCGCGACATGATCTTCACAGCCGCCGGACCGGCGACAGAATCTGACATTGTGTTCTGGATGGCACTCCAGCGAGTCTTTGACTCTGGTTTGCCGTTCTCCATTGCCTCATGCAGCTGGAGGATATATGGCCGTAAGGTGGCGACAGCAGCTAGTCGCAGCTTCGCTTGTAGCTTCCTGCCCATCTCGTGCAATTTAGTGGATTTGGAAGATTTGGAGGTTTCGGCTGTTTCGAGTCCTCTGAGGTGTAGAAGGACAGACGGGTTGGCAGAAAGGATCTGGATCGTTTCCAGATAGCCCTCGAGGACGCGAATATCAGGTAGAATCAATGCTTTGTCCATCAAAGCGAGCAGCTCATTCGCGTGTTGGAGAACTGAGTGGTTGCGGCGATCACGACGGCAGACACTGAGAGCGACGTGGAATGCTGTTCCGGTTGCTTGGCCGGAGGGAACCATTTGCTCCCGCATGGTTTTGACACTGATTTTGCTGGAGCGAGAGATGCGGAGGAGGCGGAAATATTGGATGTAGGTGAAGGTGTCGGGGTCAATGCGGTATTCGTGGTCTTCCAAAGTCATATGTTTCCAGTAGGCCTGCCCACCCTCGGACCCTTGGGTCATGGTGAAACAAGCATTCAGGATAAGAGTCAGTTCCTTGCTGTCTGGTTTGAGGAATGATAGCTCCTCCGCCTGGGGAACGACGGGTTTGAAGAGTTCTGTGAAGTCTTCTTCTTCTTCCTCCTCCACTTCTTCCATTTCTTCCTCCTCTTTCAGCGTCTCCTCAACTTCTTTTATCAAGTCCTGCTCAACTTCCGCGGCCGATTTCAAATTTTCGATTGGTCGATTGTTTTCGTCTACGAACGGAACATCTTCCATATTTGATTGCCTTGTAGCCTCTTGGACTTCAATGGCTTGAGTTTGTTCGGGGGTGATTCTGCGTCGGGTCGTCTTCTCGTTCTCGGTGGGTCGCTTTTGCAGTATGGGAATTCCCATGGTTTGCTTGTACAATTCCATGACATTGTAACAGTCAATATCACTGCCTCCTTCCAGAAGCAAACTGGCCATGGCGTTGACAAGTTCATTGTCAATTTTCAAGGTTTGGTTCTTCCAACGCCAGATGATATCGGCCCAAATCCGCTTGCCTTCGGTAATAACCTGGGCTTTCCGTTCGAGAATCTCCTCAATCTGATCGGGAGACTTTTTCTCCACATCTCTGCGAGCTGCAAATTGGACAGCGTTCAAGATAATGGTGTATGTGGTAGCATCCGGGGCACCTGGTCCCTCTTCGGGTAGGTCACCGGCAATTTTCCACAGCCGATCCATGTCCCAATGACGATGGCAAACTGTAAGCATAGCGTTGGTGTGTATGATATCAAGCTTGACTCCTGAGTTTGGTGAATCGATCGAGCGGTATACAGAGGCGGCAGTCTTGGCCATAGCTAGTGACCTCGGGGCTGAGCTGAAGCCCTTCAGCATGATCGTGTACGTTCTGGGAGTTGGTTTCCTGCCACGCTTTTTCATCTGGGAGAGAAAATCTGTCAGAATACAACTCCAACCCTCAAACCCTGGCAACTCCCGAGATGGGAGCACAACAGAACATAAAACTCACATCATTGTAGAACTTGAACGCAGCCAGCGGGTGATTTTGATCCATGCAGTATTGCAGAAGATGATTCCAGGCAACATCACATCTCAAGCCCTGCTTTGTTCCAGCACGAACCAAGGCCGCCGCCAGGGCCGGGTTACCACTGTGCAAAATGCGCGCGACCCGATCCGCCATTCTGCGAGGGTCGTTCAACCATTTCAACTCCTCATTGATAATCTTAGGTGTGAGCTTGGGCATTCCTCCAGGCGGGGCACGAAAGCTGTCGTTCTCGGGGGTCTCGCCTTCGGCGGTATCGGCCTCAATATCTTCTTCTTTGGATGTCTGGTCATCAGAGACATCGTTCTCCTGCACCTCGTTTTCACCGTCCTGATAATCATAGGGATCGTTTTCCAGGTCCTCGCCTTCAGCAGCCTCGGGATCCAGAGCCTCACTTTCAGCTTCGCGCTCGTTGTACCGCCCAGTGAACGAACCCGACGCAATAGCCATCAAAACGTCATGATTCTCCCTAGATTTAACATCCTGAACATCCCGTCTATTGCCATGTCGATTTTTAAAATGTTTATCGCCAACCCTCTCGTAGCGCTCTGGGCCATGTCCTATGCGGCGAGAATCGCTATCTCTATCGGAAGAGCGGTTGTGGGAGGAGGAGGAAGAAGTATAGCGGCGGTAGTCACTTGACGCGATCCATGTCTGTGGTAGTCGTTGGGATGCAGTAGTAGCACGGTATTGCTGCGCGGTGAGAATTCGGCTGCGCAAAGCTCTGTTCACGAGCGAGCCCGGAAACCGAAATGTCATGACCGGATTACTGTGATCTCCAGGAGTTAAGCTTGTGTCCTGCACAATGCTAGAAGGGAGACACGGATTCAGCAATGGCAAAGTGGCAAAATTGAAAAACAAGAACAGATTGTTATTTCCTCATTACATGTCTGGCGATGGACCGCGAAACAATTTCGCAGGGACCGGACGCTAGTTCATATCGGGTCTAGACTTTATGCCCGTATATTCAGGCAGGAATTCAGGCAGGAATAAAGTTTTGCCTGAGGCTACTTAAGTTCTTCGTCTAGACTGCATGTAGTTTAGTTCCCATTCCAACCCATGTTCCTTGCGGGCCTTAACGGGAGCGCTACTCATTTCCAAGAGTCTTCTGTGCGTTTTAAGTAATTTACTAGTGTACTAGTTCCTTTCCAAGGTTGGGGTATCTGGATCTGCGTTACACTTAGATCCGTGGATGAAGATGTAATTACCTACTTTAAATCAACCTATGTTGAAGAGACATAAAGCTTCATACAAACACCTCTATATCACATTTTCTGTCTCATAGATTTTCTATTATTGGATTTTCGATGTCTAGCCGAAGCCATAGGTTTCAGAACCTTCATTGTACCCAAATATTACCATAATTCGATTCCAAGTATACACACAATCATCAAACCATGATCTAAAAATTCAACAGTCTTGTATAGCTACATAGTAGACCTGTCTCATTTACCTACATGTACATATATCCATGTAGATCAGTCACTAATCTTAGGTTACAGTAGGTATACAGCCCGCCTCTAGGCTCAGGGGCCATATTTAGATCCAAGTAAGCTTTGGGGGTTCTCAAAGGAAGAAGAATTAAAGAAAGTATCGAGGGCTGGGGGACGACGCCACCTCTAAAGAAGGTTGAGTTCTTAAAGAGGGTTAGTGAAAACTTTTTATAGGGGCATACAACCTACATACTCTTCACTTTACCAATTTCTACCAGTTCCTAGGTTAAAATTCGTACTTATATCACCGGATCCTTTAGACTTGGAATATCCATTTGTATACGAGATAAATGTGGGGTTTAAGTGAAAGGATTTATTAGTGTATAATATGAGATTTTCCAAAAAATAAAGAATCAAGTACAACACGCTCGAGAATTATATTCCAGGGGGAATTTCATGATTGGCTAGGGTGGACATGTTTAGCTATATGCCTAGAAGACCTTATGTTAGGTACTATGTCTGCACTCAAATAAAGCGTGCAGTCAATTTAGAGTACTGAAGATAGGAAGAGAAGAGAGAATAAGGAAACCTTCGGAGAGACAAGCAAACTCTATGAACGCACCTAGCAACCCCTAGGGCTACATACTTTCTAGGGTTGTACAAGACGCACAGCCTAGAGTAGCACACGACACTAGCCCGAAGCTAAGAAGCACCAGTGGAGTATACGAGACACAGACTAAGCACTAAGCAATGTGACATAGCACGCGGCTAACTAGGCAAGAAGAGGAAGCAAGCTAGAAATGATTAGGAATAACTCTAAAAGGAAAATTACCAGTCCCCCCACGATGATATCGGTGGCTGATACTAACGTCCAACACGTGGAGACACTTTACTGTACCGTGTACTAGCTTCCTGTCTTATGTATGCTGTACAGCCCACATATACAGTGCTGCGCTTTGTCTTAATTGGTCCTAGTCAGGTACAACGCATATGTACCTTGTGCAGTAGTTAGCAGTGCGTACGCACATCAAACGGCATTCAATGCATGGTATTGTGCTCGTTCCATGGTAAATGCCGGTACTACTTAGTGCTGATTTTGGTTAGGCGTAGCTTATCTTGTAATGGTTTCATGGTTGTTTGTGGCTAAATCTGATTTACTCCTATAATCATGAGACCTGTTTGATTCTCTCTGGTTCGGCTATCTATGCCTTTTCTGATAGCATACTTAGGTCAGGCTGGCACGTAGCAGAGAAGAAGATATTTTAATGCATTTTCTTTTCTTTGGTTTTCTATTAAGCCATGAGTACACTATCCTCCATTTGGCAGATTCTGCTTCCTACTTTATTCTCTCCATGTCACTAAAATTGTGGCATCCTTTGCATACACAATTTTCAAGTATATAGTACTCCACATCAGTAAGACAACTAGAATCCAACATTTAAGCAGATTGCCGAGAATTCACTAAAGATGGAAATGAACATATGGAAATGAATAATACACATAATCAGATTGGAGCATGACTCCGTGGAGCGTAATGTACGTTATAGAAAGAAAATGGAGACAAGAGAGGAGAGAAAGAGAACAGACTTGCATGTAGCAAAGTTAAGACAGACAAAAGGAAATGACAAACAAGTAAAACTGAACAAAACAAAGAACCCCCGGGAAATCGATTTTGGGAGAATGCTGTCAGTAATAAACAGATGCGAATAATCCGCCGCCAAACCACCCTTGAAGCCACAGCCCCAGCAAACGGGCAAACAAAGTTAAGACATACACCACTTCTGCATCAAATTTCAAGTAGGAAACAGAACGGAGAGAGAGGAGGGAGAAGGGCGGCACACCCTCTCAGCTCGATGCACTCTAACACAAAAAGGATGACAGGTATAGAACAAAGCTGGAAAAGCCACTCTTAGACAGATCAGGATTAAAAGTCGCTGAGGTTGGTATCATAGCACGAAAGACTTGGGGGCGGAAAGGGATGTGATGGGGGGAATGGGAATCGGAATCCAGGACGAGAACATTAGTCAAGGATAGGGGATATCGTGAGTAGAAAGAAAAAGCAAATGCGTTTCCGTCCGTGTAGGTCCATAGCGGAAGAGGTGATTATGTGGGGAAGATTATTGCGGATAGTTGGCGGATTGAGTCTCTGGAAGCCGTAGCGAATTTATGGATCAGCGGACAGGTCGGGCGAGGATGCCCTTGTCGAAAGAGAAGTCCAGAGGGTCGATCCTGGTATAGAGAGAAAGAGGCGGCGACATTACTCACGTTGCGGGTACACCGGTCCGCTCTGGTAGGGAGAGTGAGGGTAGTTGGGAGGGTAGGCCATCTGTCCGTTGTTCTGGTAGACCATGCCACCGCCAGGAGGACCACCGTACTGGCTGGGGACCTGGCTATCCGCGGGCTGGTATCCGATCGGAGGGAGTTGAGGGCGAACTCCGCCGGCGTAAGCAGGCGGCTGTCCGTGGGATGGGTCAGAGGGGTTGGGAGGCTCGACTTGGTTGGCCTGGGCAGCTTGAGCGGCAGCACGCTCGCGCTCCTCAATAGCCTTACGCTGAGCCTCTTCCTCCTTCTTGCGAGCCTTCCATTCCTTGCGGATTTCCTTGAATTCTGGAAGAGCAAAGTCAGCTGTGAACTTGGGTAATAAAAAAATCATTTGCCAAAATGGGGAAATAGGATGGACTATCCATGCTAGCGAGGGGACGGGAAGGGATAAGAGGCAAGCTTAAACTCCACGCCGTCGGCCACGCTAGTGCGGGCCCCGCGACATCTAGTGTAACTCACTAGCGTCCAACGGCCGGCGCTAACCCGATCCAGCCATTTGCGACAAAAGATCCAAGATCTTAGTCGCATGGGCCATTGAGCATCTAAAAGCAAAAAAGAAATGGACCTACCCTCAGGAGTACGCTTCGCACCGTGCGATTGCATGGTCACGTGTGCATTCAAATGGTTTAGAGTACCATATGCTTTCTCACACCCGTTCCATCCACACTTATACATGCGCTCAATTTCCTCGTAACGACGACGAGGACGCTTATGCTGTTGTGCACCAGGAATTGGGACAAATGAGTAGACCTAGATTAAAAGTAGATGAAATCAGCTTTGATCAAACCCAATAGAAACCCCAATCCCATCTCGTAAAAGGAGCGATTGGAGGGGCAGAGGTACGCTGTTTTTGACAATCCCTAGGACAGTGACCCGGCGGACCGCATAGTCAACCCCAGAGGTATCCAAGACAACAATGATTGAACAAAGTAAAAAGCCTTCAGATATTCCCCCCAGGAATCATCAAAAACATACCTTTGAAGCGCGCCGCCCGAATGCAGCAGGAGAGGTGGAACCAACCGTTGTGGCCGGGGAAGTATAAGGTCCCGGCAATCCATGATGTTGTTGTCCATAGCTATGAGGCCAATCGGGACGCGCGTACATATGCTGAGGCGGAGGGGGTGACCCTGGTACTGCGCCATCTCATGCCCCTGAGGCTGATAAGGAGAGTAGGGAGGAGGATAGGTGGGGCTGTTGGCCGGAAGCGAAGGATCTATAGGAACGGGCGCGTCAGACTTTGAGTGCGGACTGCGCGGGCCCGTAGGCAAGGTGTTGAACGGACTTGTTGCTTGAGCCATACCTGCCGCACTACCGGGTTGGGAGTTGGGGGCGTAGGATTGGGGAGGACGGTGAAGGTAGTCCTGGTAGGCAGGCGAACGGGCGGTCGGCGGAGGGTTCAGACCGTAATCCGACTGAGGGGTGTTGGCCGAGGAAATGTTGGGTCGAACCTCAGGTTGCGGCGTGTACTGCGGCGTAGGTCGGACCTCGGGTTGCGGGGTGTAGTGAGCAGCAGCAGCAGAAGATTGGTCTGGCCTTTGTTCAGAAGGTGCGTCGGAAACGGTGTCTGGGTGGTGCGAACCTGGCTGTGCGTACTCGGAAGTGGGCCGGTTGTCCATAAAAGAGAAGATTCGCGCGCAAGGATGCCGACGAATCTATGGAAAAGAGTTTGTGCGTTGGACCTGTGTGGAGACGCGTCGAGACAACAATGAGCCTTGGGAAAAAAAGTCGGGGAAATTGACGAGTCGGGTCCGACACGTTTCAAGCAAGGGACGGAAGCCTAGGTTGCCACGTTGGGATCGTGGCTGACCATTCTAGATTTTGTATTTGTGAACGTACCTTTTTTTTGGTTCAATTCCTAGGGAATTGATATGAGGGGGAAGTTGAGTCGCGAAACGCTGATCAAACAGGTTTGCGCACAGATGCCGAGATAAGAGATCTGGAGACAGAGAGGAAAGGAACAATTTCACAACACCCAAAAAAAAGTAAAGGTGAAAGCGCGTAGTAAAAAAAAAAAAAAAATGAAGTTGATACCAAGGTGCTTAGATGCTTAATCTTAGTTCGAGGATGCCTTGCAGGTGGCGGTAAGCACGAGGCACCGGGGGCGGAAAAACCACGGGGAAAAGAAGCTAGAGACTAAAGAAAAAGTCAGGAGTCAACGCGACTTTGGAGCGGCCTAAAAGGTGAGACGATTAGGAGAGAGGAAAAGCAATCCTCGTGGGATCCGAGGATGTTGTGGATCCTGTGGACCAGGTAATTTTGGTTGGCGATATCGTTGGTCATTTGAAAATTACATCTTTTTTTTTTTTTTTTCTTTTTTCTGTCTTTTTTGATTTTATATAACATATATTCCAATAAACAGTCTCACCTGCTCCGTATTGGGGCATATAGAGTAGAAAGATACATAAATACAGAGAGATGTAGAACCAAATTCCGAGAAATATAAAAATGAATAAACGATTTACTTTTGATCTCGGCCCATTCCCTTTTCTTCCACCTCCGATAATTTAACTTGGCCCCCTTTTTTCCCCTCGTCCTTACCGGCTAAGCTTTCCATGTCCGTGTGATAACACACGTTTTTTTGTTTTTTTTTCGGTTTTCGGTTTCTGAAAGAAAAAAAAAAGCGGAACCATCTAGGAGAAGAGTGGCAACATATTTTTCTCAAATTCCTCCTATCATTAATAGAAATTGTTGACTATGGATGGGAATATCATAAATGATGTATACAGGTGTTGTTGTTTTTTACTAAGGACTACTGGTTAGGTTCCCAACTGGAGGCCTCTTAGTCTACCCGCAACTCGAGGGGGAGAACCTAGCGTATATGGCCCGTGTGTACCAAGATGTCAGAGAGGAGCCAGCCTTGAGCGCTAAAGAATGGCGTGCCCGAGGAACCTCGAGGGAACCGAGTCTAAAAGGGGTATAGACGGAAAGGGAACTAAGGTAGAAAAGGGTGTAGCGCAAGTCGGGGGAAGAAGAAGCGATGGGACTCGGGAAGACCAGGGCTAGTGTGGACGAAGACAGTCCTAATTACACCAATAGGAGAAAAGTAGTGGAGTTCCAGGTGGAGACTGGAGAAGCTCGGTGGATAGGCCTGACTTGTTCAAGGTTAGCGTCAAAGTCTGCTGAAAAAGGTTCAAAGCCGAGGCGGTTGAAGCCGGTGATAGCTTCTTTTCCTGAAAAGGTTTAATGTTGCACTTTGATTACAGGTATTCGGTACGTATATTTATGCATAGACCTCTACAAACTGCAGACCCAAACTGCCCTGGTCCATGTATGTTGTCCACTTATAAAGAGGCTTAAACTTGAATACCATCTACAATCTTCTAATATCACAAGCTTCATACTAGTCGTGATCCCTTTCTTCAATAAAACCTAACGAGTCATGTCAATATCTCCCGTAACCGTCACGATACCTATAAGACGCGTGAGTGGGGACAGTGGCAGAACAACTCCCGGTGATCGGAGGCTATCTCCTGACATCTGAATTTGTCTAAGAAATTCTTATAAAAAGTATGTGTAATTATGTGTTTAAAGATCGAATTCAATTTTAGTTTCAGACGGAAGCTCCGATTCCTGTGAAATTCAGTTCCATGGTCCGAATGTTTGTAATATCCCAATTGATATCGCTTCCATGATAATAATAGTACAAAAGCACTCTAAGAGAGGAGAAAGGGGTCAATCATTTTCCTAGCGGGATTTCCGTAGAAAGTCCATTATCGCCAATTGGTCACAAAACATTAAATTGCGAGCGGAGATATTCGGCGGCTCTCCGGTACGATCATTGTATGCTCAATGCTCAACCCATAGTGGAGCATAGTATAATTCTTACAGTATTTACATTCCCTTTGTACTCCGTATATTGTACTCCGTACGGATACATTATTCCTTATTCACTTCTCTCAAAGAAAGTGGGGGAACACCGTCTACACCGTCAATCCCCCACCTTGGATAAATGCGAGTCTGATAGGAAGGGAAAAAAAAAAAAAAAAAAAAAAAAACAGAAAATGTTCAAATGTAAGGCTCTCAGCTCGGAAAACTGACACTTTCTTGAATTGATTGGCGTTCTCAGGGGGGCTGGATCCCACCCCGCAGGCGGAACCTGTTCCTCCACTGCCGGTGAGGAAAAAGCAAGATACTTTCTTTTTTTATTCGCATCTGACACGGCCTGTGTCTTCAAAAGTACCCTTATCAGAGATAAATAAGGGATAAATATTAATCCACACAAAATCCTTACACAGAATCAAACCTCTAAACGACCCAGTGGGACCAGGCGGACTCCGCGCAACAGTCCAGTGCGGGATATCCGGTGTCGAGGGCAGAACGGGATGATCAATATCAAATTCATATGGCGCGTCAATCATTGGACGCCGCAGCCGCTCCATATCCAGTCGCGCTATGTTCCGTACGAATACGGAGGATAAAATACCTTGGCCTGTACTTTGTACCTTCGGACGATCAACCCGGCTCTAGTCCCCAGTTTTCATGTGCCCGGTTGCATTTCCCATTTCCCAAATCTCCATTGCATATCGAGAGGGTTTTTGGAGAGCTTGGCAATCTCCCGTTGTTTTTCCCCTTATATTCCTAATATAGTATGATATAAGGCGCTTTTTGCGGCTGTGGCTTATTTTGATTTGGACAGTACAGAGAGAGAGAGGTCAAAAGAAAAGACTCGGAATTAAATATCGCAATGGCACCTGCAGACGTTCATCCGTGTCACTTGATGCACGTGGGCCCATTTCTACATGTTACTTCTTGTATATTGAATATAAATTATCAAATTATCAAATTACGTTGTATGCAACTTTTCTCATCAAATCCACTTCGCATATTTGGACTAAATGAGGTTAAACGAGTTGGGCTAATGGACGGGGAAAAGAGGGAAAATGTACCCACAAAGGGTCTGGAGCCTACACGTACAGTATACGGGTATTCTCCGGTCATTTTCCCAAGCTCTGATCGTTCAGGGGGCGATCATTAGAAGGCTTGGCTTGGCTTTCTTAGAATCAGGTTTTCCTGTGCCTTGGTGTTGATACGCGGTGATCCCTCCCAAGCAGAGTTACTCTTTAACTACTTCGTAGGTCCTCGGGTATATCCAAACATAACGAAGAAAATAACCTGCCGGGTTGATAGATGAGAAATTATGAGATTTGCATACAGTAGCCTAAAGTCAACGACCCACGAACTTGCCGAGTTCCTATCAGAGGAATTGGTGTCTGTGCTCTCAGATTGGGCGAAAAAACGCAATTTCCCTGGACTCCACTACTTCGCTGGCCAGTGCGGTGATAAGTTGGTAGACTACGCCGGAGACAGTAAGTCTCACCCGCTAATGCTTCGGCAGATCGTGTTAGAGAGACCTGTGCGGATCAGCACACCCCGGATGATGATCATTGAGCTGTTATTCCGCGGAATAGACTGAGGTGTCTCTTTTCAAATTAATTAATTTATTTTCTATCTTTTTTTTTCCCGGCAGGGATTGGGACCGAAATGCAACGACTTGGATGAAACCTCGGTTAAAGTCGATACTGATGTTGACATTGACCTTGATATTGAAATCTTGAAATGGTAGGAGACAGGCTTGGTTCCGCCAATAAATGAGACTGATTCCTACAGGGATTCGGATCCCTAGACAGGGATCTAAGGAAGTCCATAATATAATGGCACACTGGCAATTGATTTACATTCTGAGAAGAAAGTGACACTTTGTTATGGAAGATACGAAGACATGTGAAAACACTATAACTGGCATATATGCATGATTTGATCTAGATATCATTTCTATTTCCAACACTCCGTACTGCAGCTCAAATTGGAAAATGTACAATATACTCAGTCCAAGCAGAAGCCCTGGGCCAACCCGAGCCTGCCGAGCAGAGTTACATTTCCATGCATATTCTACGTCTGCTCTAGGCGACAAAAAAAGGAAAGATAAACACCTCTTTTTATATTTTCTTATTATTTTTCCCTAGGCGGCGCACTATCGCCTGATACAGCGAACGTCGTCTTACTAGTGCATCCTGCCGGGTCCCCCTGTTGGCCAGACTCTGGGCAATGCGGCTGGTGCATTTTCCAGGGTTCTGTTTGAATCTGGACCGAAAGCGTAAATTGTACCCCTCTCTCGTCTCCGACGTGCATCGTCGGATGAATACTCTTTATTGCGATTGGTAAGGTGGCGCATTGAAGACGTGGGAGGCGCTTATGCACACTGCTTACCCTTTTTAACGTCCGTTGCCCGCGCTACTGCACGTCGCTGTCTTAGGCAGCTTTCAAATCGTGTATTGCTCTTTCAGGTGTATTTTTGTGCCGAGGGCTACCTTCAAGATTAGATGGGCGTTGTATGCATGCACGCGCGGGATGTAGGTGTTTGCCAGACTGTATACCCCGTACCGAGCACGGAGTACACGCATTGATATGTATGTTATATGCAGGTCTCGCTTTGGTGGGAATCCCATTTTTGGGTGTTATGCCTAAAGTCTTGCGGTGAATGCTGTCTTGCAGAATGATGGGAAATCGGTACTTGTGCCAGCTAATCGCAAAATATCGTGACATTGTTGTGCACGTGGCTCTATCTTTTTATACCTTGCACCTTCGTACTAGTCTGGAAAGATCTGTAATTAGCACGGAAAGATCTTCGAGTAACTCCAACCAGAATTCATGACATTTAGGATGTATATAACTGTATACAAAACCAAACTCAAAAAGAGCAATGGCTGATCCCCACTGATCTCCGTGTAGCTTTACATATTTGTATTTCAGCTGGTCATGCCGTGAAACGCTAGGGAGGAACCCACAACATAGCCTCTCTCTGGGCCGTTTAAGCATAAAGCTTGAATGTTGAGCTATGCACGAGCGAAAATCTCGGCTGGTTTGAAATCGACCCCTAGTATAATAGTATGCGTAAGGCTGGTCTCTAGTGTAGATTCTAGTCTAGATTCCAGGGTCGATCACAGATCCATCACACACTTGTCTCAAATGAGGTAAGGTCTATGAGGCTGAGACATCTAGTACCAGGTTTGTCGGTCCATCCCAGGAAGTACCTATACTTGCTTTTTCTGCCTTCGCTTGATTTCCCTTTTCTTAAAGTTCGATTGCCGCCGAGAAGTGTTCTTCTTTGGGCAGCATAAAGCAATAAGGGTTTTGTGGATACCATCTGTGGCTGTCATGTCGACTTACAAGGCCGCTCGTAGTCGTGCCTCGCGAGGACAATTATCCAAGGCGCTAGGGAAACTCGTTGCGCTGGTCAGGGTGCATATTCTCAGATATTGGAGAATTATTCATTTAAAATTCTGATATGTGAGAGCTATCTAATGGATTGGGTAGGGTGATATATATTTCTTTCCGTATTCTTTTTATGCTATATATTGTGTCACGCTAAACGCCAAGGAACATATTTGATGTCCTCCTGTGAGCACCACAACGGGATTTTATTTCCTTTCTCTCCACAATTGACAGCGAAGTATTAATCTGAAAAGCTCCGAGTAGAATAACTGATGGAAAAATATATTCCGTCAACTCTGCAGCATTACCCCGGATACCGGCCATATGCGGGGTTGGACAAACTATACCATCTACTTAGAGATCTATATATTCCGTACTAGAAGCATGTCATAGCAGACAATTCTATCAATTCAATTACCACGATGCTTCTCCCAGCGACATTATTCCTAGCCATCGCGTCTGGCACTACTTTCGTCAGGGCAGGTCCTCTATCAAGACCAGCCAAATTCGACTGGTCATCAACCAAAGCCTTGTAAGTGCATTGAGCCTTCACACTTGCAAGCAGCACTGACCATAAACCAAGAATCGCCTTCGGTGACTCCTACACTTATGTCCAAGGAACCCACGGACACCAAAATTTTAGTTTCATTGGAGACCAATTCAATCTCGCCTATGATGCCGAAACACTGCTTTCCAACAAGATAGTCCAAAACCAAGTAAGCTCTCCTACGATTGAATCAAACACAGCATTAGATATTGATTTCTTACACTTAGACCGCAACCGCAGAAGGCGGCCCTAACTGGGTCGAATATCTCACAAACTGCGGCGTTCATAAAGGCCTCACCTCACCACAACACTGCAAAAAGCAACTCTGGGACTTTGCATTCGCAGGCGCCGATATATCAACTGAGTAGTAAGCACAAAAGCACACTCCACACGCATTCAGCACGAACAACCTCAACTAACCGAAACCAAGCACACCCCTTCATCACAATTTTACAGTCTCCTTAGTCGACCAAATAAACCAATTCAAACAATACGGCCACCCAGCCCTCCGACACAACCTACCAGGCTTCAAGCAAGACAAGACCCTAATCGCCCTCTGGATCGGCATCAACGACATAAACGACAGCGCAAAATACGCCGTCGACTTCCCATCTTTCTACAAAAACCTCACAGATACACTCTTTGCATCCGTCGAGATCCTCTATAGTCTGGGATATAGAAGTTATCTCTTCATGAACCTGCCACCCCTAGACCGCACGCCAGGGAACCAAGCAAAGAGCAACCCAAGTCCGAGTGCCACGCAGGTTGGGTGGTACAATGCCGCGCTAGCGGATCATGCGGCTGCATTTGCGGAAAAGCATAAGGAGGCGCAGGTTATGCTTTTTGATGCCCACGCAAGGTTGGCGGGTATGCTTGATGAGCCCCGTAAGTATGGCATCGTGAATACCACGAATTTCTGTGCCGGGTATGATCAGCCGGATATTGCGGTTGAGTATGGGAAGTATGGGTGTCCGACGTCGTTGGAGCGGTATTTCTGGTTTAATTCGGGCCATATGACTAGCCATGTGCATGAGGTTTTGGCAGGGGAGGTGGAAAGGTGGTTACAGGGATAGTGTGAGGGTTGGGAATAGCTAATAGCTACGTGTAGGCACCATTCTCAGGCTTATCTATATTACATTTGGTGCTGGTTTGAGTGAGAACATTGAGAAAAGACTTGATGAAATGTGTAAAGAATAATCATTGAAATGTGTAAAGAATAATCATTATTGCAGAGATCAGAGACTTCGGAAAAATCTCTGAGACATGAAACTTTTGAAACTAATCAACATGTATGGATTCGTCGTGAGAATTCAACCTCTAGAATCCCAGAGTTAATGAATCAAGATCTGTGACCGTGAAAAATCCCCTGTAGCATAGGGACGGAAAAAAAAAGTAAAAACTATCTATGACATCAAAGATAACGCCGTCCTTCCCGAGTTACGCATGAAGTCAAAGAAAAGAGAAAAGAGTCTACCGGAATAGCACAATACAAGGCAAAGGCAAAGCGACTGACTGCACAGGGAGCAGTAGCGAGGCATCTACCAACGACGGTTGCCACCGACGGGGGCAGAGTTGGAGGCAGTGAAACCACCACCGCCGCCGCCGCCGCCGTAGCCACCACGTCCACGACCACCACCGCGTCCACGGCCACCCCAGCGACCGCCGCCGCCGCCGCCGCCGTAGCGAACCATCTCGGCAAGACGGGGATCAACCTGCTGCTTAGCTTCAGTGAGGATAGTAATCAAGTCACGAGCCTGCTTAGAGTCTGGAGAAAGAAATATTAGTACAACTTGCTGATGTCCAAGACATGGATGGTGAACTTACTGTCAGTGGTGAAGAAAGTAATGGCGGTACCCTTGGCACCGGCACGAGCGGTACGACCAATACGGTGGACATAGTCCTCCGAGTTGTTGGGGTAGTCATAGTTGAGCACGTGAGTGATATCGCGCACATCTTTTCAAGAGGAATTTCGTTAGCAAATAGAACATTAGTGGGGGTATGAGGAGTATGGCCATGAAGGACCCTTTCTCCGCCGTGCAGGACTTGATGCATCACTGCTCTCTTGATGGGTTTCTGTTAAGAAAATCCCAAGGGAAACGAATCCATGGGATGGCGGTGTTATCGTGGTCCTAGAGCAACCTTGGAAATACAGCCTTCAACAGTTCAACAGTTCAAGAACAACGCTGTGTGAAAAAAACTTCGACTCTCATACGAGCCTGTCACACAAGAGATGGAGAATCAAAGTCAGGCTAGAATGCCTGCTGCTGTGCTGCACTGTGAGTCCAAGGTCCTCTTGGCATGTGAACCATTTAGGATGACCAGATGCGCCTGGACGCGGCGTATACGTATACACCGACGTGCCTCGAGAGAGTTGAGCACCGTGCCATTGTATCACACAACGTCAACACGGGTGAGTGTTTTCAAGGGCCCCCTAAGGGGGGGACAAGAATAGGGGAAGGGAAGGAGGGGGGATGTAGTTTGTTCATACCGATACCACGCGAGGCCACGTCAGTGGCCACCATGATGGGGCTCTTGCCCTGCTTGAACTCATTCAAGACCCAGTCACGCTCGTTCTGCTGCTTGTCACCGTGGATGGCTATGGAGAATATGTTAGTACCGTGCACATGTGCGAGTGGGGAACCCATAGAAAACTTACAAAGCGCAGGCCAGCCGTCCTGGCGGAGGAATCGGGTGATCTCATCTGCAACACGCTTGGTGCCAGTGAAAATGATGCACTTGTTGGAGCGGTCCTCCATGATCTTCTCAAGGTGCTTGATCATCTTGTCACGCTTCTCGAAGTCGGAGACGACTTCGACAATCTGTGTGATGCGGTGGTTGGCGGAGAGGTCGGTGGAACCGACGTTGACTTGAATGTAGTCGTTAAGGAAATCAGAAGCGAGCTGACGAACATCCTTGGGCCAGGTGGCGGACCACATGCAAGTCTGACGATCAGGGCGAATCTGGCCGATGATCTTGCGAATTTGGGGCTCGAAACCCATGTCAAGCATGCGATCAGCCTCGTCAAGAACGAGGTAGGTGACACGACGAAGGTTGGTGCGACCAGCCTCGAGCATATCAATCAGACGGCCGGGAGTGGCAATGCAAACCTCAACACCGCGAGACAGGTCACGAATCTGAGGACCCTTGGGGACACCACCGTAGACACAGGTGTTGCGAATGCGGGAGGACTTTCCGAACTTGGTAATCTCAGCCTGAATCTGGACAGCCAACTCACGAGTAGGAGCCAAAACAAGAACAATGGGACCATCGCCGGGGGCGAGGAGAGGCTGGGCGTTGATGTGAACGATAGCGGGGAGACAGTAACTCAGAGTCTTGCCGGAACCAGTCTCGGCAATACCGACGACATCGCGACCGGAGAGAGCCATAGGCCAGCCCTGGGACTGGATAGCAGTAGGAGCATCGAAGCCCTGGGCCTTGACCTCAGACAGAACGTAGGCGGGGAAACCAGCCTCGTCAAAGGTCTCGACGGGACGGGGCACGTTGGTACCCTGAATGGCCATCTCCTTCTCCTTGCGGAAAGCCTGGACATCTTCCTCGGAGCGCTCAGTAACAGAGGGGTGCTCCTTGTAGAATGACTTCTCGAACTTGGGCATGGTGCTGGGATCTAAGTGGAACTAAAGTTAGTATTGCGCAAATAAAGACGTTCATTGGAATGAACTTACCCCAGTCCTGAGTCTTCAGGCCGGCGCCGAGGTTGCTCATGCGATCACCACCGGCAGCACCGCCGCCGCCGTAACCACCACCACCTCCACCACCGTAGCCGCCGCCGCTGTAACCGCCGCCGCTACCACCTCCACGGCCACCGCCGTAACCACCACCGCCGCTGTAACCACCACCGGAGCCACCGCCAGAGTAACCGCCGCTTTCACCGCCGCGGGAGCTATAACATCAAAGTTAGTACAAATTCTTATTGCGATGTGCAGCGTCTGTTTGGTTGGGAAATCAAGCCAGGACTGTGATCGACTGAGATCAACTGAGATCAACAGACTCAGAATCCAAGGCTCAACGCCATCGCAAAGAGCTGCAGGCTCGAGGCTTCTGCCAGCAAGCCATGCATTTGATAAAAGATAGACAAAGACAAAGTCTCTGCGAGAATGAACTTACCGGTAGGAATCACCACCACCGCCGCCACCGCGAGAGTAGCCACCTCCGTACGACATAATGTAAGTCTTGCGAAAGGTAAAGAGAAACGGGTATTAGAGAAGAGAAATAGAGAACAGGAATAGAGAGAGAAGAGAAAGTTGAAAGGTGAGAAAAGGTCGGGAACTTTGAAAGAAAAGGGAAGGAGAAAAAAAAAATAAAAAGCCAGGGGAGGCGCGATAAAAATTAGATTAGGCTTAGCTCTCTTTGTATTTTCTCTATCACATGATCAGGTCTGGATCAGGTACCTTTCAAACCGCCTGCCTAAATAGGTTTAAGTCGCCACTCGCCGCTTTCATCCTTATCTATCTTGCCTTTTGATTGGTCACTGTTTGTGAACCTCAGGCAGAAAATTGGAAAATTTAGGAAATTTTTAGATTTGCGCCAGGCATTGATGGTCCATGGATATAAAGGAGGCAAAGGCGAGATCTCGATGTGAATCTAGTGGCGACATATCTGGAGGGCGAAGTAGTAGATTGTCTAGAAGCAAATAGAGAGAGAGAGAGAGAGAGAGAGAGAGAGAGAGGCAAATCGGTACATTTCGGGCAATTCAACAAATTCAATTAGAATGTTCTTCCGTATGTGAATTGTCATGGATCATTCTGGAAACAGATACATAGCTTCATGATGTTGAAGTGTGGTTATTTCATTATACCAAGCTATATGTAAAGTTTGTCTAGGTAGAAGCAAATCAAACTATTCCAGGCAAGCCGCCTTTATACTATAAAGTAATCATAACAACCTTCCCAGGTTGCCTAGGTGCCATTCTATCAAAGGGACAATCCATTTTCATGAGGCTAGTCTATATGTAGTAAACTAAGATCTTTCCTTACCTCCGAGGCCCATATCCCAGAAACGAATCTCCAATTCCGTAGCCCGAACGAAGATCTGAATCAGTTCTTCCATGCGATTAGGGGACACATGTTGCATGTGATCCTCCAGCAATGCTATGATATAACATGAGTCAGTTAGATCTTCCACTTGTATTTGATGATTTGGCTTACCTGAACCCAGTCGTACGGCCTCCGTGTAGTCGTCGGCAACATAATTCTCGATCCATTTCCAGTAGGTGTTTCCCTCTCGAACGGTCTTTTCTCCCTTATGTAGCCGTCTTGCAATGGCTCCATATCCGATCAAGCATGGTGCGAGGGCCATTTGGAGGGCTAGCCAGTCCTCCGATTGGCCTACGTCCAAAATGTATCGGCTGTATGCGGTGCAAGCTATACATATCGAGATTAGCACATCTATCGAGTCTATAAAACAGCACGGCCGGCTTACCGATAGTTTCGGGTGTATCTTCCATCTCCTGCTTGGAAAGGCCAAAGGAGGCACAGTAGTCGGTGTGCAATGCCATTTCCCGCTGGATGTGGAGGACAATCTGGGCGGACTGGATTGATTGTGTTAGATTGTTACTGAAAACGATTGACACGGGCACTTACCGCTGCTATTGAATCCATGGTCTTGGCCTTGTATGATGCAAGTGCATTGCTTCGGGCAAATTGTACCTATAAATTGAATTTTGATAAGTTGAATGTCCTCTCCCAACCGTACTGAAGATGGTTGCCTCACCAGGTAGAGATAATCTTGCACCAGGTATGCCTTGAATCGTTCAATAGGCAGCGTGCCCTGGCCCATGCCTTCGACAAACTCATGGTGCGTGAACTGCTGCCATACTTGCTGCACATCTTGGCGGTCCAAGATATACTCAATGAATCGGCCGCTAAATAACATACCATTAGAACGAAGAAAATCAAAAGATCCAGGGGATGGGTCACATACGGTGCAAAGGGCATGGTGTAAGTGGAGTGGAAATGATTGATCGGCCCACTCCCTTTACCTAGGTCAATGCTCGTCTTGATTCCTATCTCGACAAATCGCACGGCGCTTCGGACCGCTCTGATCATGTCCTTGC